AAAACCAAACCCCTTGCTTTTAAGTCTTGTTTTTAGAGTCAAAACCTGTTTTCTTTTGAAGTCTTTTGAGTCTTTTAAGTTCTATTTTCGTCCAAAATCACTTATTAGGTCTAGAATTGAGTCTTTTTTTATTGTTATTTGCTGTTTTGAGTGTTTTGAGTTAGTTTTGAGTCTATAGAGTCTAGTTTAGTGTTTTTGAGTCTTATTTGTGTTGATTAGCATCCCTAGTTAATCCCCGGTCTAGAACGATCCCTACTTGCATCATTACTACAATTGTCATCAATAGGGTTTAATTTGTGTGTCAAGTTAATTTACACATCATATGGGAGGTGGTCTCTCTGGCCAAGGGGTGTAAACATGTATATATAGGCCCCAAAAACCCTAGAGAATCAGGTTAGGCAATGGAGGAAGTGCACAGCAAGGAGGGTGAATTTGTGGTGTGCAATGGTCCAAGGATGAAAATGAAGTAATGATGCAAAGTATGGAGGGTAAAATGGAGTGGTGTTGCAGCTAGGGAGCATGAATGATTGTGCACATTGCATAGAAATGAAAAGGGAGGTGAAATGTTTCAGAAATGAGTCAAAGGTGCAGCAACATGTGTTGCACACGGCATGGGATTCCAAAGGTGGCTGATGGAGCATCAATTGGTGCATGTAATGGTTGTGAAAGTTGTATGAAATTTGATGGGTGAAGGGAACAAGAGGTATGCAGCAATTGAGTGTAATAATTAAATGTATTGAGGCATGAAATCAGAAATAATGTAGGGGACAAGGGTGATTAAGCATGGCATGGGAATCCAAAAGGAATACAATGGTGATTGCACGGCAAGGAAGGTGCATTGTGGAGTGACACCCTTTTGTGGCTGAGTTCTTTATCCTTTGTACAATAATTCTTCACATTCTTAGCCTCTTTAGTCTTCAATTTCGTCCATCCACCTTGCTCTATGCATTTGCTATCCATTCCAAACCCGAAACTGCTCCAAAGACCTTCAAAATGCATCTTCTTGCATACTTTGTCCTTAGAATCTGAAAACACACAAAAATGACTTTTGATAGGAGCATATTTATGCGCCTTAGTTAGCTAGTTCTTATGCATTTATGTTGTGTTTTCTTAGTTAAGTTAGTCTTTTAAGCTATTTTCATGTGTTTTCAGGTTTTAAGGACAAAGCAAAAAGATGCAATTTGGAGCATTTTGGAGCAAAATTGAGCTAGAATGGAGCTCATGCATGTGGAGCACAAAGAATGGACGAATTTGAAGGATTGAAGAAGCTAGGAATGTGTTTCAAAGTTGAAGAATTGAAGATGCAAAGTTTCCTAATTGAAGTAGGAAAGTGCTTAATTGAAGATGAAATCCTAGTCAACAATGGATTCCTAGTTGAAGATGGATTCCTAGTTGAAGAAGGATTCCTAGTTGAAGTTGGATTTCTAGAAGAATGAAAGTTTCCTACTTGAAGATGGAAGTTAAAGCCAAAGAATCAGCTCAAAAGAAGAAACCTTATCCAAAACATTATCCATGACCTTATCCTATCTTATCCTAATCCTAATCTACCTATATTTCAGCTACAAAAGGGATTTTTTTTCCTATTTGGAGACTTAAAACCTGATTTCTAGAAGCCTTATCCCTTCCTACAAAGGTGCCACACCTTATCCCTTGTTTTTCTAGAAATCAGCCACAAAACAACCTTTCTAGAAGGCCTTATCCCTTGTCCTACAAAAGTGACGCCCCAAACCTTTCTAGAACTTCTAGAAACCTGATTATTCCTTTCCCTCTTGGTTTCTAAAAGCCTTAGCCTTTTCCTTCAAGGATTGTGTGTTATTATCCTATACAAATTAGGCCTTTAAATCATTTTCCTTTGCTACATAGGGGCTGCGAATTTCAGCCTATAAATACCATCCTTTGCTGCACCATTTAGTCACCACCCTTTACCATAAATCACCTACATCCATCCACCACACCATCCACCACAATCCTCTTGTGCCGCAGCTAAGGAAGGAGAAGAAGGAGCCATCTGGAGTGTTTCTAGGTGTATTCTATCTTTGTTTTTAATGTTTAATTTAAGTTATCTTTGTTTATTTGCGAACATGAGGAACTAATTTCTTTATAGTTGGAGGTGAATTCAAAGCCATGATTATATGTTTTATATGAATTGATTACATCCAATTATTGTTTCTTGAGTCGTGAATGTGGTTTACTTATCTATTTGATTGATAACATGTTTATGTATGTTGATTGAGGGTCGACACTTAGTTTGCATGCATGAATTTGATGCTAGAGTATAAGGGAATTTCACCTAATCGTTATTAACTTATATTCATAAGTAGTAAAAGTCGCTAGTCACGATTGTGTTAAGTAAATCCTTGGCAAGAGTAACATGCGTATTCCATAGTTATGAATGCCTCGTCAATGCTTATGATTTCCATTGAACTTAATGATCTTTGATATGTGTCTCTATCATGTGTATTCCATAGTTAGGGTCCTTGATAAGAATAATTTGGTTGTAATGCGTATTCCATTCAATTCAATGAATCTAGGGAAATCGAGTAGTGTGCATATGTTTCATGTGTGGAGAAGGAACCTTCTAACTAGCCTTTCACCATTCTTTTTCATCCAAAATCGTTTTTGTTAAGTTTGTTTTTAAAGTTTATGTTTTAAAGTCCAATTTCGTCAAAATCAATCCCCTTGCTTTTAAGTCTTGTTTTTAGAGTCAAAACTTGTTTCCTTTAAGTCTTTTGAGTCTTTGAAGTTCTATTTTCGTCCAAATCACTTGTTAGGTCTAGAATTGAGTTTTTTTTATTGTTATTTGCTGTTTTGAGTGTTTTAAGTTAGTTTTGAGTCTATAGAGTCTAGTTTAGTGTTTTTGAGTCTTATTTGTGTTGATTAGCATCCCTAGTTAATCCCCGGTCTAGAACGATCCCTACTTGCATCATTACTACAATTGTCATCAATAGGGTTTAATTTGTGTGTCAACTTAATTTTCACATCAACTTTAAACACTAAAATAACTAAGAAAACACAACGTAAATGCGCAAGAACAAGCTAACTAAGTCGCATAAATATGCTCCTATCACACCCACTACACCCACCATTACATCCACTCATTACCAAACAACCATCCACTACACCTATTACATCCACTCACTCATTACCAAACATCCACCCATTACACCCATTACACCCATTACATCCACTCATTACCAAACATCCATCCACTACACCCCTTACATCCACTCACTACCAAACACTCACCCACTACACCCATTACATCCACTCATTACCACAACACTCACCCACTACACCCATTACATCCACTTATTACCACAACATACACCAATACCACCTTAATTGGATGGTGGTCCTCTCCTTAGCCTATAAATACATCCACCTTTCACCATAACAAAAGAGGGGGGAGATCTATCCAAAGGCACATTCACACGGACAGTTTAGGGAGATGGGAGGAAGACACATTATGCCGCAAGGCAAAGTCTTTTCTTCTTAACCATTCTATACATTCCCACAACAAAAACACAATTCCATGCACCTTCATTTCCCTTTCCTTGCCGTGATCTCCATCCAACCTAAACACATTTAGCCATTCCCTTCCATATATCCATACGCATCCATCAAACCACACCTTGTGCCGCAACAAAGAGAAGAAGGAGGACCCTTGGACGTGCTTGTCATTCAAGTTGGATTGTTGGAGCGTTTTTAGGTGTTTTCATTCTTTTGTTTTCAATGTATAAATTTGTTTATCTTTGCTTTGTGAGTATGAGGAACTAAACCCCCCTTAGCTAGGGGGAATTCGAAACCATGTTCATGCTTGCAATATGATTTGATTACTTTCAGTGGTGATTCATAAGTTGTGATTTCAATTTACTTATCCATTTGAATTAAAACTGATTTGTGTATGTTGGTTGAGAGTGCACGCTTAATTTTCATGCATAAATCTGATGCTAGGATATAAGGGAGTTTCACCTAATCGTTATGAACTTATATTCACAAGTAGTGAAGGTTGCTCGTCACAATCGTGTTAAGTAAATTCGGCATAAGTTCCATGCAATTCATAGTTACAAGTGTTTCATCAATGCTTATGATTTTCATAGCACTTAATGATTCTTATCTCTATTATGCAATTCATGTAGGGAACCAATGGGGAATGCTTTGGGTTGTTGTATGCAATCATCCAATTCAATGAAATTAGGAAAATCTGAGGGTTAATTAGTGCAATTCACAGTTAATCTGGGGCGTTGAGAATTCGTAGTTTATTGAAAAGCAACTGGAAATCGTTTTGTTTGCAAGTGTGTGTCATGTGTGGAGAAGAACCTCCTAGCTAGCCTTCCATCCATTCAATTTACTCAAATTCGTGCAGATTTCATTAGTTCTTTAATTTACTTGTTTTGTTTTCAAATTCATCAAAACCAAAAACCCCTTTACCTTGTTGAGTCATATTAGTTAGAAACTGATTTAGTTTGTGCTTTTAAGTATTTCGAACCAAGTTGAAACCAAAATTCGTCCAAAAGTGTGTTTAGAGTCCAAATCTGCCCAGTTTGTGTTTTTAGGCAGATTTGAGTGTTTTTAGCTTGTTTTGAGTTCTTTGAGTCTAGTTTAGTGTTTATAACTTTGTTTATATGTTTTTAAGTCAATTTAGAGGTTATTAGCAAGCCCTCCTAATCCCCAATCCAGAACGATCCCTACTTACATTCTTTACTACAATTGATACAAGAGGATTTAATTTGTGTGTTAAGTAATTTTTGCACCAAAGTGATATGGAGGAAAAACAGTATTTCGTCAACACTTGGAAACCAATACATTACTTTTCAGAAACATTATTATTGGTTCTTTTTCAGTAAACAGTGAGACTATAATAACCATTGAAGAACTCATGAAATGAAACTTTCATTAGCATCCAAATATTGCTATAACCCCAATTTTTCTTCAAATGGTACATAGCACTGAGTGGTACGAAAAATGAATGACTGAGTGCTATATTTGATAACGAAACATCTTTCTAAAAAGGAAATTGCATTAAAATTCTGAATGCTTCTTGCATACACAACGAACGAGCAAAAATCCACGAGATCACTCTCCGAGTGTTTCTCTTATACAAAAAAATGTCTTCACTTATTTGAAAACCCTTCTGATACGAAATAGTAGTTCATAAGAATACAAGTTATTTCGCACTAGCTTCGGCATTAAGATCATTATACGATTTTTAAAAACTGCGTCCAACTCCCAAACAATGCTGTAAAACATTTATCGGTACACCAAATGCTTACTTTTCCAATATAATGTGGCTCGAAAGTGATACTCCTCAACTTCAGAGGGGAAAAATGTAACAAGATTGATTGTATTCCGGTTTTCCATAGAAATGATCAAAGCGACTGCCCATATCAAGGCTTGAGCGCAAGGGCAAGACCTACCTTTGGGGATGCAGTAAGAGCCTTCGAGTCGTACTCAGCTGAAACTGTTATTAGTGACTTTGGTCTCCATTCACGCTGCCATAGCAAGCCAGCTTTCCCATTGTTGGAGAACCGTGTTTTTACTACATTGAATGGATCAATTACGTGAGAGCTTCCAAGGGTAAAACTGTTCTCGTAGGTGGAAAATCTGTGGGTCAGTTCGGCAGCAACTGTAGTTCCATTTAAGGAATCAACAGCATGAATGTAAGATGCCTTCAATGTCTGTCCTTTGTCCATCCTGCGTCAAAAGAAAAAAATTATTTTCAATTTCAATGCCAACACACGAAGCAATAAGCACAGAGACATAAAACTACTGTAACACTACTTCATGTTTGAAAACACATCCAAGTTCGTCCAATCACAAATATCAAAGCGATTGTATTCCTCTCAACTGCAACAATGAAGAATATCGGGTTTATAAATTCTATCAACTAACTCAAATCAGACTTCATGAAGATTCAACAGTAAGAGCCAAAAACCAAAAATTCCCTGCAATCTTGAAGGCATCATTGTCAGCTCCTGGCCATGAACTTCCGATTTGCTATCATTTCCACTAAAACATATTTTTAGACCACAACATCACCTTCACCATCAACTAGGATGTTTGAAGTCGAGATCCGAGTTCCAACAAACTACAGGTGGTAATTTTCCAGGGCTACAGATTCTTCAATCGTTTACTGCAATCTATGCCATAACTTGAAACAAGAGTATTTGTACGACCTTACACTAAAATCGCTAGAGAATGAGGGGTCCATCCAATCAATTCCCAATTACTTTGCACAAAGATTGCATAATAATGACTTGGGAAATATGATTTGCCACACCCATATCAGACACATGAAAAACACATGTCAATTGGTTATAGCATTATACAATTGAGAACACACATGAAAGTATATGAGGGGTGCACCAGGATTTCAAGGAAAGCCACGGAATCATACAGACATAAGCTATTAGAACTGGAAGAAAGATAACAAGAATAATTACTTCTCCAAACAAGGAAATGAGGTTTCATCAAGACTTACAGCAAAAGCGCTGCAGAGAAATCTGGCTTGTTATAGCTGATCCCAGCATTGTATTTGGTCAACAAAGAGGATGTTGTGTCAAATCCAATTTCAGCACCCAAACTAAGATCCTTACTTCCAATTGTCCCTGATAGTTCTAAAAGAGGGGTTGGGTTCAGGCCTATGCTGGAATCAAAGGCCGCATGAGGATGAAGGTACTTCACATCCAGCTACAGTTACATGAAAAAATAGAGTCAAGAAGTGTACCCATAAGCCTGAATTTGACTTTGATCATCACATTATACCATTAGGAACTTCAATTCAAGAATCGCACATACAAACACATCTCTCAAAGCTCAATTTACGACAAAAAAATATTTTTAACAGACAACGAGAATAAGCTTGTGAAAATGAGGTTTCTTGTTTTAAGGTTCTTGTTTTTGTACTGCGAGCAGAATTTCACTGACCTTGCCAGATTTGTGATCAGGTATTCTGAAGCTCAATGCTACTTTTGTGCATGGCAAGACATCACTCAGAGTCACTTTTGTAGCTACCTGCAAAGAATTTAAAATGTAAAATTGAAGACACAGTTGTGGTCAGATAAGGAAGACACAGTAGAAAATGCAAAAAGTGGAGCATAAGGAAAATACTCACAATAACAGTGAGAATATGCCTTTTACTCTCAACAAACGCATGGAAACTCTAAAAATTTATTACAAAATAAAATACTTACATTAGAATAAGTATCAACTTTCACATCCACAGTAGTGTTTCCACTCTTGTACAGAGTGTTTACATCACCAATGAAAATTTCATCCCTCTTCAAACCATTAGCTGTAAGTCCCTGCCAAATTGAAGATTACAAGCCAGATTAGTCGAATAACTGAGTGCTGAAAAATATATCACTAATTTCTAAAATAAAAAAACACATAGCACAAATGTTTCTTAGTCTAAGTCGGCATTAGTTTCTCACATCTCTTAAATGCCCAAATACACATCTTTCCATAACCACTTAAGGAAAAAGTACTTGAAGAATACAAAGCGGGCAGCAATACTAGGCATCACTACCTATCAAAAGGAAAAGAGAAAAGAGCACGAACGTATGTGATAAATGACAAGAAAGAACTGCATATACATAAACTCCAAAAAAGAAGGATAATTAGCATTCTAGTTCTCCAACTTGAACCCACAGACAAGAGTGATGTTCATTTTGAGTAATAATAGGTTACTAGTTACTAAAGGACTGAAAATCAGCATAAAAGTTTGCCAGGATACATAGCCTCGAACTGAGACAATGATGAGAGAGACATGGCAGTATGCTCATGACAAAATGTGAATTATATTGCCACACATTGGCATTAAAAATTTTAACGCTATGTTTGGGTAAGGGACTTCCAAGTCCCAAGGGAGTGAGACCAAGTTGTTAAGAAATGGACTGGAAAATGTTAGATAGAGCCTAGAGGGGATTTGGAATGCCCTCCATGAGCAAGACAAAGACATGTGAGATGGATTTGTAAATCCCTACTTGGATGCTGTCATTTGCAAACCCTCCCATATATCTTTGTCATGCTCATGGAGGGCATTCCTAATTGCCTCTATCTAAGTTTTTGTGATCCATTCCTTGCTAACTTAGCTTCAATCCCTCATCCAAACATATCCTAAAGAAGTCCCAACCACAAGAGAAAAATATTGTGAACGAGAGATACCAATATCCTAGCTGATTTAGGCTCCTTTTGCATGAGGTAAGTATCAGTGGTAGAAAATAAGATGTGGGCACTAACATATCTAAAGCTTCGCGTTTCACATCAATTTAAGACATTATTACAGGAATCTTAGCAAACAGATTCTAGGCATTAATACAATTCTCAGATCTACGCATGCACTCAAACCTATCTTAACATCAGATGTAACTGAATAAAGTAGATTTGCCAATGCTACGCAAACACACACAAGTGTCATGTTGGGTATGAAAGCTTGGATGTATAATCATTGGGAGTTTGTTTAGAGACAGTCTTAAACTTATTAACTATTTTGATGGTGTCCAATATTCGTATTGATTTTTTTACAACAAATATTGGGGGAAAAGTAAGTGAACGTACTACACAACCATCGTTCTTCTTTTCCACAAAGGCTATTAACAAGTATTTGTACTTTATAATAAAAATAGAGAAAGTTGGTGAAAAAAAAACTACAGATTTCTGCCAAGCTATAGAAGAGTTCAATCAAACACATATTATATGTTAAATGTTTCTCCATTAAATCAAAAAGCTAAAATAAAGAACTGGAAGAAAGAATCTCAAATTTAGAAACTGAATTGGAGAATACCAGCCCAGTAGAGCCAACCACCGACAGGGTAAACTTCTGGTCAAAGTTGTAATCTTTGGTCAATAGATCTGCACAAAGACAAAAGGAACTTTATAAACAACTGAAATTCCATTCGAAGTAAAAATACTGTAGCTCAGAAGAGAAAAGACAAACATGAAACAAGAAAGAATAAAATTTATGAGAAGAAAAAGCCATGTGGAAAGACTTCATCTCTGCAATTGTGTGGCTCCAACTTTCGGCATTTAAAATGTTATATTCAAACATTTTTCTTACAAATTATGGTTACTCAAGCGCAAAACAAAACAAACAAACAAACAAAAACCATCTTTAACTGTAATGCGCATGTGGTACAATATTCTAGAGGATAGAGTGTTGGTGGGTTTTCACCCATGCATCCCGGGTTTGAAACTCTCCCCTTCCCTAAATTATTGTAACAGTTTCGAATCCTCCCCCTCACCTTAATAATAATAAAACTTTGAACGAAAATTTTTTTTTTTAAGAGTAATGCAGCAAATCTTATACTCGATACCTTTTGCTCTCTTGCCAATATCTGAAAATGGTGCTGGACTGCTACCCATAGTTACTAAGAACTGGAAAAAAGGTGTCAATCCCTGAAGAAAAAAGTAAGAATAACACAGATAAACTGTGAATTAAGATCATCCTGATACTGACGAGAAATCTATACAGAAAAAAGTGCAAAACTTTGGCTCGATCAATAATAAACCAATGAATTGCTACAATGCACCCGAAAATTATATGTACTAATGTTTGTCTGCTAACTTATATATGAACATGGAATTTTGAAGAAAAGGTCAAGCAAGTCATTTCGGTCCAATCCAACTCACACTATCTCCCAAAAACACAAAAGTAAATCAGAATCCAACATTCTCTCAATCAGATCGGAGAAAGCCCTTCCCCTTTAGTTTTTGCTCACAAACACAGATTACCCAACTCACAGATTCCAAAATCAAAGACATCCACATTGGTATTATCCACTGAACCGATGAGAACCCAGATTACATTAAGCAACAAACAGCTAGATTTGATTCTAAAAGGTTTTGACATGAAGCTGAACAAAATTAGCAGAGCAACAGCAAGATTTAGAGAGAGAAACAGAGAGAGAGAGAATCAATCTTACAGGGATAGAGCAGATCGCCGCCGTCAAACCCCTGAAATGACCGCTTCAGGAGAGAGAGATAGAGAGTAGTGAAAATCGAGTGTTATGGGTTTTTGCGGGAGTGAGAGGCCCAGGGTCAAAGTCGCGAACAGCAACCGCGGGTTTCTGATATAAATTACCTGCTGGTGAGTACAGACCAAACGGCTCATGTTTGAAATTTGATTGGAGGATAGGAACACGTGTCACGTTACGGAGTGTGAGTGGTGAGTGGAGGTGGGTTAGTCAATGGGCTGTGAGAGAGGGATATTTGACTGCGGCGTGGAAGGCATTTTTTCACCAGAAACACAGGAGTAAACGGGTAAAATGGCGTGGATGGTGCCACGGATTCGGTGGGCCGCGAGATTATATAACGGCATCTCCGACCTTGAGTTAAATCTAAAATTTAAGTTTTAACTAACTAATTTCTTCTTCAATTGTTGGGCGTAAAATGAGTTTTGGGTTAAAGCCTAAAATTCAGACAAATTTAACCTAGAATTCCAATCAGGGTTAAAAAAATGTTTACCTTATGCGTGCATGGGCATCTGCAGAATAGTAGAGGACACAATAAGGCGACATGCCCAACGCGCGATACGTGCAAGGGCTAACAGGAAGTGGGGCACGCCCTTGATGAGAATGTCTAGCTAACCAAAACGAGCTCAACAGCTCTTTTCGATCTGACAGTTTTAATTATTGGACTGTTGGTTGATCTAAAGGTCTAGATTCAAATTTAATTTTTTAAATACATTAAATTCAACGGTTGAGATCAAATATGATTAAATCTAATAGTAAAAAAAAATATAATGGATCAAAACTAACCTTTCTAGAAGGCCTTATTCCTTGTCCTGGCGCCCCAAACCCTTCTAGAAGTTCTAGAAACCTGATTCTATTCTCCCTATTTCCTTTGGATTTCTGACTTCTAGAAGACCCTTTTCCTTCAAGGATTGTGTATTAATTTCCTATACAAATTAGGCCTTCAAAATCCTTTTCCTTTGCTACCTTGTGCCGTGGGTTTTTAACCAACCCTTGCCGCTTAAATCATTCACCACCCTCTACCATATAATTCTACACTCATACATCCCTCAAACACATTCACCCCTTATTGTGCCGTGAGTATTGCAAGGAAGGAAGGAGAAGTAGCTACCTGGTGCCGTGCCTAAGCCCACGCCTTTGGGATCATTGGAGCGTTTCTAGGTGTTTTCCATCTTTTATTTTCAATGTTTAATTCAAGTTATCTTTGTTTATTTGTGAACATGAGGAACTAATTTCTTTATAGTTAGAGGTGAATTCGAAGCTAATGATCATATGTTTTATATGAATTGATTTCCTCCAATTATTGTTTCATGAATCGTGAATGTGGTTTGCTTATCTGTTTTATTAAGAACTTGTTCTTGTATTTTAATTAAGGTGGCCAACTTAGTTTGCATGCATGAATTTGATGCTAGAGTATAAGGAAATTTCACCTAATCGTTATGAACTTATATATTCATGAGTAGTAAAAGTCGCTAGTCACGATTGTGTTAAGTAAATCCTAGGCAAGAGTAACATGCTTTTCATAGTTATGAATGCCTCGTCAATGCTTATGGTTTCCATTGAAATTAATGATCTTTGTTAAGTGTTTCTATCATGTGTATTCCATAGTTAGGGAACTTGATAAAGAATAATTTGGTTGTGATGCGTTTTCCATTCAATTCAATGAATCTAGGGAAATCTGAGAATTAATTAGTTCAATACAATTAATTTGGGGCATTGTCATTCAAGGTTTATCGAAAGAATAATTGGAAATCAATTTGTATGCATATGTCATGTGTGGAGAAGGAACCCTCTAACTAGCATTTCACCATTCTATTTCATCAATTTTGTGTCTTCTTAAGTTTGTTTTACAAGTTTCTGTTTTTAAGTTTTAATTTCGTCAAAACAAAATCCCTTTTTCTTAAGTCTTGTTTTTAGAGTCAAAACCTATTTTCTTTTAGTCTTTTGAGTCAAGTTAAGTCTTATTTTTGTCCAAATCACTTGTTAGGTCTAGAATTGAGTCAATTTCATCTAGTTTTGCTGTTTTGAGTGTTTTAAGTTAGTTTTGAGTCTATAGAGTCTAGTTTAGTGTTTTTGAGTCTTCTTTGTGTTGATTAGCATCCCTAGTTAATCTCCGGTCTAGAACGATCCCTACTTGCTTAATACTACAATTGTCATCAATAGGGTTTAATTTGTGTGTCCAGTTAATTTTCACATCTGACACATGGACAATATATTTGATATGATGGTTTTACCATTGACGTCTTGAGTAGACCACAAATTACCTCAAGGGAATAAGCCTTATCATTAAGCTATACCCGACCAATGATGGCACCAATTCCTTAGAGTCTCTCTCCCTTTGGATGTCTAGCATGACTCCATTCTTTCTAATAGGGATCTTCAGAAAGGCTTGCTGACAAGTTTGCGAAGACTAGCTTACACCATCGAGGACTGCCTATTATAGTATTAAGCCTCCCCTCCCAACTGCCTGCTAGGGTTTAGTCTCTATAAATAGTCAGGTCAAATAGAGAAAATCGGAAATGCCACTTACTATACAGAATTCTCTCAAGTTTTATTTTTCTCTCTACTACTTTTCTGACTTCGCATCCTCTTCGTTTTTTAGGGTATTCGTCAATTAGGCTAACAATGTTTGTTCTCTTGAACGTGGAATTTTGTCAATTCAGTCGTGTGTGAAATTTGCATCTACAATGGTGGTGCCCGCCACCTTAATAATCAATACATGTAATTAACAATTAAAGGCATAATCATGCTTGTATGCACTCAAAACTAAACTTTACCCATTAAATTCAAAGCCTAGTAGTTGTGGTGAACCAAGACTCAACTCAAATCTTAAAGAAAGGAGTAGAGATTTCTTATACCTATGTTGAAACCTCTTTTCATAAGCAAATGCTAATCACCCATGAGAGAGGGCCTTCATTCCTAACTTCTTTGCTCCATGGATTTCTTAGAGGAGGATGGAAGAATGGATTCTCCTAGTTCCCAAGAAAGGAAACTTCTAACTTTCCACACCAAGGAGAGACTTGAAGAAGAAGATGAGTGACTTGGGAAGGATTTGATGCTACTAAATCCCCCCTAAGGGTCGGCCTCCTAGAGAGAAAGAGAAGCATGTGTTTTGCTCTCTTTGCCTCATAAAAAACCCTAATGAGGGAATTGCCATAATTTCCTTTATATAGCCACTTACATTGAGTGGGACTATTGAAATTAAATCTACCTCTCCCTCACAATCTCTATGGCCAGCCTTGGGGTTTTTATTTGGCATTTGGGCCCTTTGTAATTTAAGTTGTCATACAACTTAATGTTTAGCATAAATTGTACTGTTTATATTATTGATCGGATCATATTTATATATATTTTTACTTCGAATTCACTCGTCTTTTCTTAGTTAGTTCCTTATATTTTTGAGCTATTTACGTTATTTTTGTGTTTATAGGATTTGTTATGCAAAGAAAATAAAAATAGAACAAGTAAAATTTTATGTAATAAATTTGTCAAAACTGTCTGTGTAGATCAGCTTTTAAATTAAATTAAAAAAAATATATAATAATGATAAGTCATGATGATGTTTGAAACATCATCATGATGGTTTTGTTTTGTAGAAGAAAAGAAAGGAACGGATGGAGAAGAAGAAAAGAAAGGAATAAAAAAAATTAAAAGAAGAAGAAAAAGGAGAATCCAAAGCGTGAGGGAGCGGGAGAAGGGACTGCCCTTTGGGCAGTTCGCAGAGAGAAAGGAAAGAGCTGCCTTTGCAGCACAAGGAAAGAAGGCAGACAGCTGCCCTTACAGCGTGAGCGATAATAATAATAGGAGGGAGAAACGAATAGAATATAGAAAATAGCGTGAGGGGAGTACGGGAAGGATTGAAGTGAGAAAGAGGAGGAGAAAAGGAGCTGCCCTTCGGGGCAGCTGAAGAGAGCTGCTAGAGAGAGGTGAGAGAGCAGTCAAGAGGTCAATGGGGAGCTGCCCTTTGGGCAGCTCGAGAAGAGCACAGGGGGTGACGCGGGATTGGTGCAAAACAAGACGGGCAGAGACCAGTGACAGAAGATGAGGAAAGACATACGGGGGAGAGAGGTTGGTCAGCACAGCAGAGAGAAGAAGCCAAGTCCACGGAATGGAGAGGAGAGCACAGCAAGAGTTGGTCAGAGCACAGAAAGCAGAAGCCTTTTCTTTCGGTTTAATCTTTCCAAACTCCTATTTTATTTTTGTTTTAATAATGTGTAATTAATTTTATTTTGGCTAGAGGTTAAGTCGAAACCATGAATATATTTGTAATATGAATTGATTACCTTCGGTTGTGATTTCATAAGTTGTGTTTTCAATTTACTTATCCGTTCGTATAAAAACTGATTTGTGTATGTTGGTTGAGAGTGCACGCTTAATTTACATGCATGAATTTGATGCTAGAATATAAGTGAATTTCACCTAATCGTTATGAACTTATTTTCACAAGTAGTAAAGGTTGCTAGTCACAATCACGTTAAGTAAATTCTTGGCAAGAGTATCATGCTTTTCATAGTTACGAATGCCTCGTCAATGCTTATAGTTTTCACAAAGTTTAATGATCTTTGATTGTATCTCTATTGTGCTTTTCACGTAGGGGGACTTTTGAAGAATGTTTTGAATTGTTGTATGCGTTTTCCCGTCCAATTCAATAACTTAAGGAAAACTTGAAGATTAAAAAAGTGCTGTTCACGGTTAATCTGAAGTGTTGAGATTCACAATTTATTGAAAGAACAACTGAAAATCAATTTAAGTTGCATATGTGTCATGTGTGGAGAAGAACCCTCTAGCTAGTCCGTCATTTATCATTTTACCTTAATTTCATGTTTTTGTCAATTCTGTAATTTAATTAAGTTTAATTTACTTTTCATCAAAACCAAACACCCATCCATTATTAAATTATATTATTTAGTTAGTTTTTCTTTATTGTTAGTCTTTTAATTTAATTTCCGTCCATTTCAGTTCCTAGTGTTTAATTTAATTGTTTTCATTATTTTGAGTCATTTTAAGTGTGTTTCGAGTTATTAGAGTTTTTAGCCTAATTTTATGTCCTTGAGTCTTATTTAATATTTTTAAATTAATTTAGAATAGATTAGCAATC